AAATAAAACCGTATTTTCCTGAGTCGCACAAAACAAGTAAACTGAAATTAGGAGAAACTTGCTTGAAATGGTTCCTTTGTAAAATTGCACAGCGTTGAATTAAATAAAAACATTCTACAAACACTATATTATACAATTATATAGTTTACATTCAAAAGTGTACTCCCATCGCGGAATCATGAAAGATTCGTGTATCTACTTTATTATGCAACCAACAATAAAAAATACTTGATTTATTAATATACTTTAAGAATTATAGACAATTTATGAATCGACTTAACAGATTAATACGAGGAAATATGTACAATTTTTACTCACCGCAGATAAAGAGTAAAAAGTTTGGAGTAGCCGTCGAAGGACTCGAAAGCCATAGTCCATCAACCGAACTTTGCAGATGTGCTCGTTACGAAACCGATTGCGATAAACGCGTACAACGTTGTAAGTGGCGAAGGACACGAGAATGCATGGTGGTTATCATCGACACATTAACATGCTCGCTTACAAAGATAATGATGCGTGGTGGTTCTCGTATCCTTATGTTTAATGGTCGACGCGAACCAAACAAGCATGGTCCTCGATGATGGAACGAGAGGCAAAGACCAGCGAAACGTTATATCAACATTCGAGAAACGGTCGAATAATCGTCACTCATCATTTTTCTCTACTCATAAAATTCATTAAAGCTGTGCACTTTAACGTGCGGTATGTAAATCGTTGAAAATTGAAAGATCACTCTGCAAGAAATGCGAGTTTCCAGTTGAAAATGCAGAAAAGTTTGTATAAACTTCTCGCTATTCAGAACGCTCAAATATTTATGTAAAATTAGCGGACATACTGATAATACCTATTTGCTAAAAAGGCACGCGATAAAATTTAAAGAAATTATAAATTTATAATTCTTCTATTCTCGAATCAATTTTATTCTTTATTTACCCTCAAATATTTCATGTGTTAATGATGTTTTAAAATTAATAATTATTGTAATATAGAATACAAATATATTCTCACATGTGAGTTATGACCAAACTGTTTAAAAAAATTATTACTCAACGAAATTTCTCTTAAAAATTACATCTAAATTTCAATTGCGAAAAAATGAATCCCCTTCATTCTACCACGTCAATAATTAAAATAAAATAATGCGATTAAAAAGCAGCATTTATATACGCTATGTTTTCTTTGAACTTTGCTTCAATTGATTCATCATCCTGTTTTCTTACCAAACATTAACCGAAACATCAAAGGGACGTTGTCTGAACTGTTGTATTGTATTTCATACATAAATATTATCCGAAGTACGAGCGAAAAGTATTGCGACAATAACCTGTTGAATACGTTTCGTACAAATGGCGCGAGTGAATGTACGTCCCTGTTTTAGTACCGGGGCCGATTAGGGTACACGGATCGCGACAGTGAACATTTTAGTGCTTCTTAATACTCTTCGTGTCGGACAGATATTAAATTGATAAAAGATTTTATTGGGCTATATTAACGGTGATGGCGGACGTAAAAAGTCAGCAACGTATCCCGGCCTCGACTTTTACAGTGTCATTCAGCTTTGTAACCTTCAACATTGTAACTCGACTGTCTTTGATAAAATCGCGATAATGTTCAGCGAATGGGTAAATTATCTTACTGTGATGATTTCTTTTCGGTAACTTTATGACTTTAAGGATGGATGGAATACATGAGAAATGTTTGCACGTTACAGAAGCACGATCGAATAGTACTGATTCACTGCAGAAGATCTAACGAAATATCTAATTAAGGGTACCAGTGAATAGTGGAATTATCAACGGGGTAACTAATTTAACATGAAATATAAATTTAGCCAATTATAAATTGAACCAGGATTGAACATTTTTAGTTTAGACACGCATACCTGATGACTGGACTGTTGATCTTATTTAGGACATACAATAATCTATATCAAAGCTGAATGACACTGTAAAAGTCGAGGCCGGGATACGTTGCTGACTTTTTATGTCCGCCATCACCGTTAATATAGCCCAATAAAATCTTTTAGAAAATACACGTAGAATATACTCAACATGCATTACGTATATTTTATAATTAATATTTTGTATTCTACACGACGTGTATACACGTAACCCGCACCGCAGTAGAGATTTAGTCCGACGTGTATACACAATCTCCCTCGTCACTTCACTCACAGTAATATTTTTTACTCCGAATAATGTCCCCCTAATGTACCAAACATCTTTCGTAAAACCATTTCTCTGTGTATCCAACCACGAAGAAAATATACGATATAAAATTACCGACATCGTCGCAAGATAAATAGCACGTTTCCCGGAGTGAAGCCTTTCCAGAAATCAGGAAGCGTTTGGAACCCCGCACGAGGCGGCTCACGAACGAAAGGGACCACGTTAGGGCACCGAGAACAGCACACGAGAGAGCAGTCGTGGAAGAGGTGAGGAGGTAGTGTCGCCCAGGTGCCCGACCAGCCTTTGCCGAACTCACCTCCACCTCTTTCACCAGTCCGAGTTCTCTCCTCGCCCATTCTCTCTCCAGGGCACGCTCCTCTGGCTGTTTCTTGCTCGCTAGCTTCGTTCGCTCCCTCAGTTCATCTTTCTCCATCCCGGCAGCTTCTTCCTAACCTCTCGACGCTCTCGTCTTTTCCTCTTATCCGTGCCATTGGCCATTAGCGATTGCCGTCCACCGTATCATCAGGCCCCGCAGTAATGGGACCTCTTACGATCCTCCGGGCCCAGTCGTTCGTCGCGCGTTCGCCGAGGCTTTCCCGCGTCCTGGTCATCCGTGGACCGCCACCGTCGCTCCTGCCACGTGATTTAGCGGATTATGTTTAACCGTTCGCGACCTTCCGTTTGTCGGATCAGCATCGTCGATAACCCGGTCACCGCGGAGTTCACCGATCCGTCTGGCCAGTTTGGCTCGTGCCTAAGGTCGGACGAGCCGCCCGGGACCGTACCGCCGTCGGATTCGTCGCGTTCTACCTGGTGTCGCGAGTTTTTCTGGCATCGACGTTTCACCGTGACTCGAGGATGGCCCGTGAGTGATCACCCAGCGAGCATACGCGGTCTCTGCTTCTTACCGCCGCTCCCGGTGTCCAGTTGATGGAAATCGTCGTACCAACGCCTTTCTTGCCGCGGAGTGATAGCGTCGCGATGTGGCTCGGGTTTCTTCGTCGACGGAACGCGGGCTTGTGAACGGTGATAGTGCAAGTGTCCTGTGGAGAACGCGGCCGAAGGTGCGGCGTTTGTTTAGTGGGAGGAGATATAGTTTCGTGGGAGTTTCCGTTGTTAGACAATTTAACGGTTTGGGTGATTTATGGATCTCTTTTTGGGGGGTGAAAGATGCTATTGAAGGGAGCAGTTAAATATTTTGTCGAATATATCGGGAGTGTACAGTATTAAGTCTAGGGGAAATAGAACGTGTAGGTATTTTTGGTGGATATAAATGAGAGAATATGGAGTATGGGCAAAGAGTATACGACTGTAACTGTAATTGTACCGGAGTTGTGTACTGAAAAATTTAGGAAGAACTGAATGGAATATCGATTAAATTAGAACGAAGACTAGTGAAGGTGTTCCATATTAATAATACCGATACAAGTTAAAGAATCGCGCGACGCGTACCGCAGGTTGTTTTAATTTACGTTGATTAGTTAATTAACCATGGAAATAATTTCGAATCGAGCTGTCGGTAAAAAGCTTCCGAGCGCTGCCTCCGCGAGCATTTTCATCAATCAATCTCGCGTCTTGGCACGCCCGCCAGTCATATTAGCGTGAGAACACTCCGGATTTCAATTTGCATAAACGCAGGCACGCTCGAGTTTCTCTTATTCTGGCTCGCGAACGTGTTTACGGAATAACGCAAAACGGAAACCCGTTCCACGGTAGGCGCGGGTCTAACAACGCTTGCTGACACTGGCTAATTGATCGCATGATCGATAGCAGGACTGCCAGAGGTTTAGCTCTTATCACTCGTAGGGTATCGTTTCATTTAAATTGGCTATCGAAGATGTTTGTACTACTCGGGTCGTCGAGAGTTGAACGCTTCGATTTCTCGGTAGAGGATGACTTTTCAAGTCCCGTTCAAACGGATGACATTCCCGTCGCACGTGTCACGGTGATTTAATGATGGTTGACCCAGAATGGCGATAGCTTGTGTCGACTGACTTCTCACTTCGACTGGTCGCGGATGAACAGTTGACCTTGGCCGGTGAACAGTTCGACAGGTTCGACAGCATTCTGCGTTTTCCAACGTTCACTTTTAGGTTCTAGTGTTTTGACACGTTCTGTATTTCTGGTAGCGATTGTGTTTTCTCGGGATTGCTTGTCTCTCGAGATTTGGAAATTTCCAAATTCCAATGGTTTTACTGATTGGGCCTTCGGAATCCCGTCTGAAAATTGTAGGAAATTTTTTAAGTGATATGTTGATTGAAATTAAAATTACGGAGGAAAATGACACATTGAACATTGAATTCTCCAAGAAACAGTTGACATACCGTTGTTGAATTTTTTGGGACATTTCGTAGTTGAAATAAAATTTATCGCTCGAGTGGATTCTTATATTTGCATACAAATATTCCAGAACCGAAAAAATTTCTTACGTTTCGTGCCGACATCAGTTTTATCAAAAATAATGCATTTCTCAACATTTAATTTGCCTCTTGATTCATAAATATTTATTTCTTTGGTCAATAGTCCAAAGTCATTATCGATTGGTTTTTTGTTGGCATAGGCGTGTATAGTAATTCATAGTGGCATGTGTAGAATAGAAAGATTTCTAAAATTCTCGAGTTTGCGAGGAATTTGAAAATTGATGACAGATAGTTTAAATATTTAAACAAAGTGTAATTAAATGTTTCCCCACATAGATGTGTACTTAGTCCGTGTTGCTGTTTCAATATTCGAAACGAAAGCGTCCTTGTTGGATATAATGGAACGGAACAAACAAATCTCTAGCCGTGCGTATTTAAGCATGTTGTTATTGTCGCATTCAATATTCGAGCAGGTATCTAGACCGTTGATGGTTCAGTATCTTCGTGTCCGCCGCGACGTATGAACGTTCTGTGAACAATTACGGTCTGTCGTTATGTTTAGATTTTATTTTCGTGCAATGTAATATTAAAATTCACGTGCACAATTATTAAACTAAAATAAATAATTCGTATTCGATTAAATATATCTGCACTAGCTTTCATCTTTGAATCTAATAAAAAAAATAATTGAAAGGCACATGTGTTAGAATACTTTTTGCAAATATTAAACAAGATAAGGTAAATTAAAAATTAAACAGATCGTGTTCTATAACAAGATTATTGGAGATATTTATTATCCTGAAAATATAGAATCGTAAAGTAAATAAATGTCAATCGTGACAACGTAAGAATCGTGTTTGAAAATCTTTTTTCATCCGTCAACCGAGAAATCTTCCTTCGTCGGCCAATAAATCTAAATGAAATATTTCCCTCTGACAATGTAACGCGCGAGTCGAAAGAAATTAATATTTGCAAAAATGATTTACAGGACGCGTTTGAAAAGTTTATAGTTCTTCCAAGGTTTCAGCTAACAGTGATTTATTTCGTACCTTTCATACAATTGAAAAAATTCAAGAATCGGTGACGTCGAGCGTGATCGGTTTATGCGCACTCCAGGGATCTTTGGGGGTGGCACTCTTTCACACAAAGAATCTGAAAAATAATTCATAGGATTTTCATCCGCTTTATTTAGAAAAATCGATATTCCCGATCGAACAGTCTCGATTTCAAGTAAGTGCAGATGCGGAGTTAAAGTTCCATCAAAGTGCTACGTGAAACCAGGATATATAGTGAAACGTGGGAGTAATTCTGAACATCGTTACAAATAGTGTGGAAAGTTTGGACTTCGATTAAGTGATGCAGTGTTGTGCAACGAGTGGGCAAAAGACTTTGGAAAGTGTGTAACGTGATCGACGTTTTTGTGAAAAATATCGGAAACAGTGACGATCAGATGGGAAGTGATGTCTACCTATTATGGCAGAACCGTTCTCAAAGAGATTCATCACAGCTAAGGTAAGCTTAATTTTGCACAAACAATTTTCGTTTTTGAAGTTCTGATCAATAGGTTTAGAGTACACTTCAAAAATTAATGTTTACAGGAATAGTTTTGGAATTTGTTTTTTTTTATATTTGATAACGAAGGTCTCTCACTTCATATAGTAAAAATAGAATTTAATCATCATATTTCAAAAATGTATTTTACATGAAAATTTCAAGGCATTCCATTTGCCAAATAAATTATTTTCATGTGTATTCTTCGTTAAAATGTTATCCTTTCATGAAAATTAAAATTATCGACCCCCCTTTAGAATTCTCCATAAATTTCCATAGCTACACAAAAATACTAAATTAGATGCAAATATTCATATTGCAATCGCGACTGGCATTATATAAACTATCGTTGGAATCTAAAAATCCTGGTGTCTTTAATAATTGCGCAGATTTAACAAAATATTCCGTGTATAATTTAAACAATTTCAAATAGAAGAACATAACACGAGAAGAATTTTATTCAGCATTTATTCTAAGTATTTATTCTTATCTCTTGCAGGATGATTTCATCTCCAAACGAGTTTAGCTTGTTACAGCGAACCGCCACAAAGTTGAGACTCGATCATTTACAATCATCGAAGAAATTAGTTGGAGTGCAACGTAGTTTTATTCGATTTACATTAAATGGTCAATATAATAACAGGATTCAAAACTGACATTAAGATGGGTAATGTCCTTTCGATTTTTTTTTTTAAATACTTGTAGTACAAAATTGTAATCATTCATCGTTCTGCTCATGTTTTACTGGAAAACCTTGAAATGGTTTACGTTCCAAGAATTTTAGATCCTGAAAACAGATACACAACACGCATATCTGAAAGTGTTCATATTAAATTAGATCCTTGCTCTATTTTACAAAATTGGTACACGTATGGTAAAACCGGTTAAATATTATGCTAACATTTTAAAACTGTGGTAAATATCGATGGTAACCGTATGTAACAGATCATTTCTTATGCATATCGTTGGAAATCCCTGTGATTAAGAGTCCCCAACACATTTATCTACATTGAAGCCACTGTCGCAAACTCTCTTATTGATTCGCAGTCGAACTCCACCAGTCGATCAGCCAGTGTGTTCAGCATTTTTATACAATGTTAAATTAAACTTTCGCAAAAAGATTATAAAATGATGTAAAGCGCAAATATTGGTCTTTTACTTTTTTCTATAATTCAGGAAATATTAATAACTTGATTATTGTTGCTTGTCGACTCTAGAGCTTTTCACAGCGATACGTGATCGACACCGTGAGCTGGTGCTATTTATCTGCAAAAAATTAATTACACAGGGCCCAAGGTCTCACTTGAAGGTAACTTTTTACGTCGATGGTTCGACAGCAGTGGCACCGGAGAACAATTTTTACTTAAACCACGCGGGTTACGAAATATCACGGACCTGGCATTGACGTATGCGAAGCTTTTAGCTGCCTGGTTATACGTTCGAGGGCTTTTAAGTGCAGGTCCCAAAGAGTATGTAATTTTCATGTACGAATCCCTTCCTCCCCTTTACCTCCCCAAAGCCTTTTCTTCTTTTTCCGAATGGTCCGAGCGAAACGATCAAGTACGCGGCCACGAGCACGTGATCCTGAATTTACGCTTAAATTTACGCGTTTGCATGAATCGTCGCGCGTATGTATACGTGAGTCTGCAAATTGAATGGCTCGGCGCGCCCAAAGGTTTCCCTTCTTTCAAATCCTTCTCGTTTTCCGGTGTTCGAAAATGAAAAGGGAATAAATTTGAGGATTTGCGTAATTGCCAACTTAGTCCGGCGTAAACGATCCTTTTCCTCCATCTTCGTCCTCCTCCCTTCTCTTTGTTTTCGAAGACGGTCTTATCGGATAATCTACAATTCACATCGAGCTCCGAGATTGGAGAATTACGAAATACTTTGACCAGACGATTTTTCCTGTAGCTTCTGCTCGGGTGGTGTTTCGCGAAGCAAAGGAATAATTTCTTGCTCGAAAAGTGAAGGACGATTCGTGCGCAAGGGGGGTGTAATTGCCTCTTACGTCTTGAAGTGTTTTCTTTGAATAAATAACGGGTATATTTGTATAACTTTAATTTTAATCTTCGCTAAATGTATTTTTTTATTCTTATGAATCAACTACTATTCATTATTGTCACTTCAAAGGACAATGAACTGCACTGGGTATTTTTTTAAATTTATCGCACGCATTAAACTCGATTATGTCCTGTATAAAATTCATGTAAACGTCGCTTGTTTTATGCATTACTATTCCGCGTTCAACATGCCGAATAGAAAATCATGTTTCGTTCAGTGAAACGAGACGTGCATATTTAATTGCTGATGCTTGGGCAGACGTTGTACCTTTGTAGGTAGAATGCGGTAGTAAATAGCATTTAGGTACTGGCTCCAGCAGTAGCTTACATTAACCGTTAAGTGCAACCAGTAATTACAACGGTTTTCGATATTTCATTTTCACGGTACTTTTAGCAGATTTCAATTCTTATGCAACGATCATTGCATACTAATTGCTCGAAATGGAGATTTAAAGCCTCTTCAAGATAGTCACGTTTTAAAAGTAGTACGATTTACAAAATAGCTACAATGAAGTTTTAAAGATAAGAAATAATCTTTGTAAAAAGAATGATAATTCTTTTTTGGATATATTTTGATATACTAAATCATTTCATTTTCTATAGATTCATTAATTTATTAAGTGATTAATTGCAATACTAACGTTATTTTAACCTACACTACTGAAGAAAATCCAAAACAACAAAATTGAACTCTGTTTACAATAAAAACCACAATAATGCTTTGAGGAGACTCTCTACTTAGAAGATTATTTTTGAAAAATGACTGGAAAACCAGAATATTATGTAGTATTACTAATTGTAACTTCAACGTAAAATTATACAAAAATTCAGATGAGGATGTCTTCGTTGCATTAATTCCGTTCATTTTCGCAATAGGTTTAATTTCACGTTAAAATATTCGACTCTCCGCTGATACGCTATCCGCACGAGAGATTTGACTTCGACTTCCTTAACCTCTTGGCGAAGACTCTTCCTCGCCCACGCGAGTACATTTGAATTCCCTGCGCGTGAACAGCCAGTTACGTCCTCGCGTCTACATTTCGTGCTGAGAGTATGTTCTTTTTTCTTTTTTTTCTTCCTTTCAGCTTGTGTGCCGTTGAGATTAATGAGGAACTCTTTTCCTTTTTCACGTAAGTTGTTCACATCAGCCTTGGACACAGCGATCCCATAACAACGTAGCATACGCTGCTTTCAGCAGAAATTCTGTCGCGGGTCCGACTTCGACCCACGATCATTTGGGGCTTTCAACTGGATCTGTGCCCTTTCGGATCAGCTTACATCAGTGGTGCACAACCTATGAATATAAAAAGTATTAAGAAGTCAGTTTTTGTGTAATTTTAACAGAAGACTTTTTGAACAGACAACCATAGAACTATTTTAAACATAACTAACAGGTATTTAATATAACTTTCTGTATGTGGATTTATGTTTACATTAATTTAAACCGTGTCCACATTGAAATATAGAAGTTGAGTGACAGCTATTCGGTATAATTTTCTGTACGCGCAGTTGTATTTGCATAGAATGGTCCTTATTTCACGTTCATTTCTCGCAATAATTTATCTTTTACTTTCAATTAAAGTCACACCCTTAAGTACTGCAATTTGAAAGGTAACTAATAGCTGCGCAATACAGCTTTTCATACTTACAATTTTATTTAGACTGTTCCTAATTTTACCATCACTTTTCCTCGATAATTTATCCTTTACTTCCAATTATCGTCAGACCCATGAATACCGCCAATTCGAGAGATAACTAATAGCTCTTTAACATAACTTTTAATATTCACAGTTTTATTTAGATAATTCCAAGTGTGACTATCACCAAACCTCGATAATTCATCTTTGACTTTCAATTTACGTTACACCTATAAAAATTCAATTTTAAATATTAATCAACAACTGTTCAACAAAACTATTTAAAATTCCTTATGTTAACTTAATTTTCTCCCTATAATTTATTTTTTATTTTCATTTCATGTTATAAACATTTACTGTACATTTAGCTGAATAATTATTCACTTTTACTCGAAGCCATAAATATTGCTTGAAGTTTCTTAATGTTAATCAGAATTTGCGATGGATGCTCACGAATTTACGCGAAAATTTTTCATAAAATTGAGTATATTCCATCGGAACTAGTGTGCGTGTGGCAACATGCGCCGACGACCAGCCAATTCTGTCTTTTTTCGGGACATAAAAATTCTCATGCGGCAACTTCTTCGTTCCTCCACTTCAAAGAATGCGTGTACGGTAAATCTTGCCGCAGCTCCACAGCGGGGAATGTAATTGATTTCACTGTACACGACTGCTAAATGAGAATAGATGCTCGACGTACATGCTACAGCTATTGCATGCTTTCGCAAGTTCCGAAGACGCATGCGACCGATTACCATAGATATGTTTTCGATTTCCTAGTGTGTAGACGCAACAGTTGAAAACCACTCCAAAACAGAGTAAACAAAAGTCAAACTTGAACTGACTGCAGAACTAACTGATGTTAACTCAGTGGTGCAAGACTGTCTCCATCACTGGGACAGATGACATAAGATAGAATCAAATTATACCTAATCATTCGTTGACATTTACTACTAGCTCGTGTAAATGTCAAGATAGGGATGATTTTAGGAGCCTATGCAGTAGTAAAATTATGAAAGGTACGTTAATTGTAGATTGAATTCTTGTTATTTTTGTTCAATTGACAATTTCTTAGTCATCTAAAATGTATATCAAACAAGATAAAAGGGAGGCAATACAAAAATGCTGAATGATATATTTAAAAACAACTAGAGAAAAGAAGAGCAAGAAGGTGAGGAAACAATAATGAAATTCTTAGAGAAAATGACTTTGTACGTTTACTATTGAAATGTAGAAATATACCATGTGTTAGGACAACAGAAAC